TTAGGGACCGCTCATTATTTATTGTACAGGGGGGACTGAGGAGAAACTCTACAGTTATAATATTTTTTCATTGCCCCCCTCTTAAGACAAGTAAAATTTTCAAAGCCCCCCCCAGCAGGCAAAACAAGAACATAAATTTTGCCCCCCCCCTAGCTCTTTATCTTTATTTAGAGAAACAAAAACTCCAGCTGTTTATTTTAGAGAAAGAAAAATAGGTAATGGGGACCAATAGACATTCCCATTATAGACTAATTTTTTATCTTAGCAAAAAAAGTATATTCCCAGGGAGGGCATACTAAAATTAGTAAAATTCCAAAGTTTGGTTGCAAAATGTTGTAAAATATGTAGAAAATATAGCCTTCCAAAGTTTGCAAATTTTGTATTCTTTTGTATAATTGCAATTTTCGCATGCAATAAAAAAGTGTACAAAATTTGCAAACTTTGCAAGGCTATATTTTCCGTATTTTGCAACAATTCGCAACCAAACTTTGCAATAATTTACTTATTTTAGTATGCTCTTTCTAGCTGTGGTGATTTATTTGCATCAAGGCCGGATTTTCAGGGAAGTGTGGAGAGGTGCGCACCTCCCCAGAGATCGTTTTGCACCTCCCCTGAGAATTTTTCCACCTCTCTTGAAAGGTCATGCACTTCCCCTTGGGAAAGTTTCAATGATGGAACAAAGTGAAAATGTGATGGTTGCTTAGGATCTACACTTTGTGACGTAAGAAAGTTTTCTCTGTAAAATTGAAACAGTGATAGCCATGTCAAGCACCCTTTTAATGCAATGTTTTGAAAGAAACAGTGTAGCAATTGTAATGAAGGGCAAGATTGGAGTCATACATTCATAATTCATTAATACACTGGTACATATTATGTACACTACATGCATACCTCACCTCGTTGATATTGGCCTGTTCTACAATAAGCCCTAACTTTCCATGGGAGCTGTGAGCTAGACCGCTGCACCTCTCCTAAAATTTTTGTCCACCTCCCCCACTATTTTCACCAAAATCCGGCCTTGATTTGCATCTCTTTGCCTAGTTCTAAAATTAGTCTATAATGGGAATTGTCTATTTACATGAACATGAGAGACTTTTTATTTGACTTCCATTTATGAATATTAAAGTCTATAAATATTGTTATTTGTTGTTAAGTTGTTTTGTGATACATTTTTAAAACTACTGTTTTTTCAAACTGGTAAATATTTTCAAAGCCCCCCTTCTTTCGTCTCTCTGTATTTTTTCAAAGCCCCCCCTTTCAGGTTTTGAAAAATTTAAAGGCCCCCCCAGTTTCTCCTCAATCCCCCCCTGTACAATAAATAATGAGCGGTCCCTTAGTGATAGTAAATAACAAGCTATGGTAATAACAAGGTCAAGGTGGGTCAAGGTTTTATCGAAAGCGACTCACGGACTGACTGTTAGATATGTCCTTTACAAATTTATAACTAAATAACATTATTTCCTATACTGCTATAGATTTAGCTTTATTGTAACTTTTTAAAGATACTGTATAAAAAACCTGTGGAAACGGTGAATTACTATAACAGATTGAAAATGATTATTAAACTATGATTGAGATTGTCGAAGTAGAAAAAGTATAAAGGTACTAATAAGTTAATATGACCTTATGGTTTGTTTTTTCTAATTCATTTGGGAGAGAAGAAATGGCTGTATTTATCATTTTGACGTTTGAAATGAGTTAATTTACACTACTGTAAACCTCCGAATATAAGCCCCCCCCCCGAATATAAGCCCTCCCCAGAATATAAGCTCCCCTGAATATAATAAGCCTCCCCCCATGTATAAGCCCACCACATGTATTAACGCTCGCCTCATTTCTAATATAAGCCCCCGTATATAAACCCTCCGAATATAAGCCCCCCCCCCCCGAATACAGGTTATTCAACATTGACATTGTCTTTTAATATATCAGAGAACGATATTTAAAAACATTGTCATTGTCTTTATAGCTTACTATGTTAATCATTACGACTGACTTGTTTATGTCTGACTTATTTATTACTAATGCACCTATCAATGCTTTTCCCCTGAGGGGAGGGGGGCGTGCGGGCAAGCCAGGGAATTTTGACATTTTTAAAATTTTGCAGTCAAAATCCCCACTGTTGGGCAAGGAACCGCTGTCAAAATTCCCCACTATATTCCTAAGATAACAAGGCACACATATGTTTTCCACTGCAAACATACAGTCTATATTTGTTTAAACTTGGTAAAAATTGAGACACTGTATAAAATACCATTTCCGATGAAACTTGATCTTGCTTCTCCGCCATACTTGTTACGAGGCCTTCAGTAATATCAAAAACTTTCAAGTTGGCTGATGTCAAAATTTTCGACTCTGGGAATTGATGCATAGGTCAAATTCCCCTCCCTGGTGCTTCATAGTGTGGTCAAAGTCCCCTGCCCCCCCCCCCACTCAGGGGGAAAACAATGATAGGTGCATAACACAAAACATTGTCCATGTATAAGCCCCCCCCCCCCTTGTATAAGCCCATCAAAAATTGCCTGCTAAGGTATATAAGCCCAGGGCTTAATGGCTTATAGTTGGAGGTTTACGGTATATCGAATGTCATGTTGAATGTCATGTTGAATCTTATGTGTATTTCACACTACTATATTTCGTTGTATTAAATTTCAATAGTATTACTTTTTATAATTCAAATTTTGTTTGATATTTATATTTCATGTTATTTACAAAATGTGCTGTACTTTTGAAGCTTTGCACAGAATATAGTCAGTGGGAGCACAATGGCCCCGTTTCAGTTTGAGTATGTAAAAATCGAGTATTTTGATAGCGTTGGACTTTGAGCATATGGCTTAAGGCTTTCACGATATATAAATAAAACGCCTGATAATTGATAAATAATCAGTGCGAGCACAACGGCTCCTAATCACAACCCCGCATGAAAATGCTCGAAAACCCCGCATGAAAATGCTCGTCGGAAAAACTCGGTATTTGTCGTATTTTACGAACCTGCCACGCGACTGGTACGCTCACCGCTCACCGCAATGACACGAAATTTAGAGCTATATGAAAGTTGCATGCCATATATGGCATGCAACAAAAACGGCAAACTTCGCAGGGCTATATTATCTGCATTTTACAACATTTCGCAACGAAACTTCGGAATATTACAAAATTTGTGATGCTCTTTCAAGCTGTTCTGTCTACACTTGTCTAGATCAAAATTTTGTTCATTAGGGAAAATAGGTCCATTCTGTAACACTTGCATGCAAACCAGATTAATTAATTTGAGATAGCCCGCGGATAAATCTTGTTGAATAATGATTGATGGCGATGCTATACTACCTGAGAAATACAAAGAGAAACGCTCGTATGCACATAAAAAGACGTGTTTTGCCAATCAAAACAAACATGCACTGGCTAATCAGAACACGGCAACGGTACCTCGTGATTGCTGGTCACCTACATCATGTTTTCAAAACATTCATGTTCTTTTTCGAACCCGTCAGAGCGGTGAACACTTTAGCGAAATGAAATATTTTGTACTGAAAAAAGTAAAGTTGGTATATATATATATGTATGGATATTAATGGTAGTCAATAAGACTGCAGAGACCGAGGGAAAGAGTGTGTTTTGTGGACCCGAGACCGATCAAGGGGTCACAAAACACACTGCTTTCCCGAGGTCTCAGTAAATAAGTGTTTTGTTGTTATATAGTATATATATAAGATTCAAAGTACTATATGAATAATTCACCGGTTATTGGAGTGAACCTAAATTCGGAAACCAAACTAGATAAATGGAACGCCGTAAATGTTTACTAAAAAGTTTAAACAATGAACTTTGTAACTTCACGGCACCTCGTGATTGCTGGTCACCTACATCGTGTTTTCAAAACATTCATGTTCTTTTTTCGAACCCGTCAGAGCGGTGAACACTTTAGCGAAACTAAATATTTTGTACTGAAAAAAGTAAAGTTGGTATATATATATATATATATATATATATATATATATATATATATATATATATATAAATTGAATTGAAACCAAAATTGAAACCAAACTAGATAAATGGAACGCCGTAAATGTTTAATAAAAAGTTTAAACAATGAACTTTGGAACTTCAACTAATAATAACTATGGGTGGAACACGCATGCGTATTGCACCCATAGTTATTATTGACCGGTCAATAAATATAATAAAATATTTCATGCATTGCGGACCGGTTGCCTGAACATGACGTTTTGGGGACAGGCACGTGATACGGTTTTGACCAATCAGCAAACAGAAAAATTGAACTTTGACTTAACTATATAACAAAACAGATCACAGGCATAGTAAACGTGCGTATAAAAGCGCGCGTTTTCAGTGGCCATTCTTCGAGACTGGGTTGACCACCTGTTTCAAGTGACTTTCGGTCATCGGCAAGAAGAGAAGAGCGTGCGTTTAGAGAACTGTTAAAATGTTCTCTAAACTCGCTCGAATTGCATCCGATGGCTCTGTTGCGAAGATTTCAAAATCCCTATCGAGAGCGCTAAATGGCAGAACTTTGATTAAAGGCAACGAAATAGTCCAACGAGCCGCAGTGTCGAATTTCACGGGGAAAGCAAGTGCTTCGACCTTAGCAGGTATTTAGCGTTTGTCCTTTTATGTCAATTAAAATCTGTCTAATTAGATTTAATTGCCCATGTGTTACTGTCGACATAAATTAGATACATTGAAAATTTATAAACTCGTGCCAGCGTAGGCAAATGAAAAAAAGCGCCATAAACTGCGATCGATAGGGACTCAACTACCGGAAAAACACAAGTAAAACTTTGACGGTTCGAGCAAAAGCCTTTCATTGGAGTTTTGCATGTATTTTTCAGGCAGTTGAATCCCTATCTATCCGTAGTTCTCTCATTGAAATTTATAGCAACTTAGAAAAATATAGAGATATTACAAAAAGATCTAGAATATCGTACTTAAGAATTACCAATACATTTTTGCTGGGAATGCCATGTTTATTCATTTAGCAAATTAAGCTAGCAAATTAAGACGACATCATTTTAATGTGTATTTTTAATAAAAGTTTATTTATTTAAATTAAGACGATATTATAGTACTGATTGTGTAAACGATGCTAACGTCTGTATATTGCAGTATAAAAACGGCCAATTGGCAATGGATCTATTCCCTATAATGAACAAAATTTTGATCTAGACAAGTGTGTAAAATGCGGAGTAATATAGCCCTGGGAAGTTTGCCGTTTTTCAGTCATTTTGTATCACGCACGGGAAATTGATACCGCTTTCTGAAAAAAGGTATCAATTTCCCGCGCGTATAAATACAAAATGACTGAAAAACTGCAAACTTCGCAGGGCTACAGTATATTATCCGCATGTATGTTACAACATTTCGCAACGAAACTTCGGAATATTACTAATTTTGTGATGCTCTTTCAAGCTGTGATGAAATTTCTGTCTACACTTGTCTAGATCAAAATTTTGTTCATTAGGGAAAATAGGTCCATTTTGGAATACTTGCATGTAAACCAGATTAATTAATTTGAGATAGCCCGCGGATAAATCTTGTATGGGCTGCGCCAGTGTATATATAGTGCCAAAAACTATGAAAACTTCTAAATTGATAGCGATGCTAACTACCTGAGAAATACAAAGAGAAACGCTCGTATGCACATAAAAAGACGTGTTTTGCCAATCAAAACAAACATGCACTGGCTAATCAGAACGCGGCAGCGGTACCTCGTGATTGCTGGTCACCTACATCGTGTTTTCAAAATATTCATGTTCATTTTCGAACCTGCATGTCAGAGCGGTGAACGCTTTAGCGAAATGAAATATTTTGTACTGAAAAAAGTAAAGTTGGTATGTATATATAGGTATGAATATTAATGGTAGTCAATAAGACTGATATTTATCACTTATTTACTGCAGAGACCGAGGGAAACAGTGTGTTTTGTGGACCCGAGACCGCCGTTGCTGTCCGAGGCGAAGCCGAGGGCAACAACGGCGGTCAAGGGGTCACAAAACACACTGCTTTCCCGAGGTCTCAGTAAATAAGTGTTTTGTTATATAGTATATATCAATAAGTGTCAAAGTACTATATGAATAATTCACCGCTTATTGGAGTGAACCTAAATTGAAACCAAACTAGATAAATGGAACGCCGTAAATGTTTAATAAAAAGTTTAAACAATGAACTTTGGAACTTCACGGTTGACACGCATGCGTATTGCACCCATTTTATTATTGACCGGTCAATAAATATTTTATTGTGGACCGGTTGCCTCAGGAACATGACGTTTTGTGGACAGGCACGTGATACGGTTTTGACCAATCGGTAAACAGAAAAATTGAACTTTGACACTAACTATATAACAAAACAGATCACAGGCATAGTAAACGTGCGTAAAAGGGCGCGTTTTCAGTGGCCTTTCTTCGAGACTGGGTTGACCACCTGTTTCAAGCGAGTTTCGGTCATCGGCAAGAAGAGAAGAGCCTGCGTTTAGAGAACTGTTAAAATGTTCTCTAAACTCGCTCGAATTGCATCCGATGGCTCTGTTGCGGCGAAGATTTCAAAATCCCTATCGAGAGCGCTAAATGGCAGAACTTTGATTAAAGGCAACGAAATAGTCCAACGAGCCGCAGCGTCGAATTTCACGGGGAAAGCAAGTGCTTCGACCTTAGCAGGTATTTAGCGTTTGTCCTTTTATGTCAATTAGGTAATAAATTAGATTAAGTTAGAAGCTGTCAATTAGATTTAATTGCCCGTGTGTTACTCTCGACATAAATTAGATACATTGAAAATTTATAAACTCGTTCCAGCGTAGGTAAATGAAAAAAAGCGCCAGAAACTGCGATCGATAGGGACTCGACTACCGGAAAAACACAAGGAAAACTTTGACGGTTCGAGCAAAAGCCTTTCGTTGGAGTTGTACTGGGTCACAAGAGCTGTTAAATAAATCTGGTATCCCGTGCATGTATAAACATATTAAATAAAGTAGGACTTAGATTACAACCTTGTTTTACTCCAACTTGAGATTTAAAAAATGGAGTACAACCTTTATCCAATTTTACCGACAAATTCACTGAAGAATACATGCTAAGCATTAGGCGCATAAAATTCTGACTGCAACAATAAAGGATAAGTTTGAAAATTAAGCCTTCTCTCCATACACTATCGTAGGCTTTTTTAAAGTCAATAAAACATGTGAAAATCGGTTTACGTTTTGATTTGTAACAATCTATTATGGTTTTAAGAACGAACAAGTGGTCAGTTGTTCTACAATTCTTCCGAAAACCAATCTGACATTTATTCATTATTATATATATATATATATAGGGACATTATATGACTTTTAACTAGTTTCCCACTGAAGAAGCCTTGATCGGCGAAACGTTTGGGATTTTAAAACTTTATTTTACGAATAAAAGTTTTTACTTTGTATGTCTGAAGAAAAGTTCAACAAAACCACAAAATATATATATATATATATATATATATATATATATATATATATATATATATATATATATATATATATATATATATATATAGTTTTTCGTTTTACCTCGAAAAACCACAACAGTCCGTTTCATCCGTATAG